GCTCTGCATTGTATATAATACTTCTGATGCCTTTTCTTTTTATAGAGTGAACATCCAGCCACCTTATTCATAAGCCTCATTGCATAAACAGGTTGTGAGATGCTTGTGAGAAAAAATGCAGCTGGAAGGTAGCATAGAAAAGAAAAAAAAATGGGAAAAAAAAGAAAGAGGAAGGGTAATTGCCTAGCTGTGCAAAAAATAACTGTGTTGTATGGATAAAGTTTAATGTTAACAAGTTCTGCTAATTTCCCCACAGCACATTTTCATGATGCTAACAAACAAGAGCAGCTCGTTAATTATAAGTAGCCATGTTAGACTTTTTATTTCATGCTCCCCGCTTTTGAGCAATGTTCCTTCTTTGTTTCCATTTCACGGTCTAAAAATTTCCTCAAACATTAGATCAGGAAACCTTACTTTTGTGTTCCCATCCTTTCTTTGCCCATCTTTCATCATCCACCATCCTGTTGTTCACTGCTTCCTACTCAGTGTCAGCAGTGTCATTAGAAGTCTTCCTGCAGTCATCTGTGGTTTTATTCTCCTCATTTTTACTTATTTACTTCATTGTATCTACTTGATCTGGCGAGTTGTTTTGTTTTGTTTTGTTTTTTATCTGTATTGTGACCTTATTGTGTACTCATTCATATCATAAACCCTTTTTGTATCCTGTACCAAAGTGGTTCCAATTTTTATTAGGACTTAAAATCAGAATATGCTGAGTTGGAAGGCACTCATGACTCTGATGACTCTGATGATTCTGCTGATTCATCAGAGTAATCAAGTCCAACTCCTGGTCATCCACAGGACATCCCAAGAGTCACATCATGTGTCTGAGAGAATTGTCCAAACAGATTTTCACCTCTGTCAGGCTTGGTGCTGTGACCCTGGGGACCCTGTTCCACTGCCCAACCATGCTCTGGGTGAAAATCCTTTTCTAATAGCCAACCTAAACCTCCCCTGACTAAATTTCAGGCTGTTTCTTCAAGTCCTGCCACTGGTCATGAGAATGAAGGGATCGGTACTTGGCCCTCTGCTTCCCCTCCTGAGGATGTTGAGGACCACAATGAGGTCTCCCCTCAGTCCCCTCTTCTTCAGGTGGAACAGACCAAGTGACCTCAGCCTCTCCTCATAAAGCTTCCTCCCCAGACCCTTCACTGTCTTTGTTGCCCTCCTGTGGATACTCTCTAATAGTTCAATGTCTTATATTGTGGCACCCAAAACTGCCCCCAGCACTCGAGGTGAGGCTGCCCCGGCTCAGAGCAGAGCAGGACAATCCCCTCCCTTGCCTGTGGCCATGCT